GAACTGGTGATAATGGGTTTTTTCATTTGTGGGATTTTAGGCAGCCATCTTCTTTAGGAAATAAACCAGAGAATCCAAAACTAAATCTTAATAACTGACTGACTAAAGATGAAAAGACTATATCCTGTGGCACAGCTAGAATAGTACAATGTATTTGGTAGTCACTCATTCACTTCAGAACTGATAACGCCTGCATTTTTACAAATATTTATACATATTTAGACCTCTAATGGTTTAGCCAGATCAGTCAAAGTGACAATAATAATAATAATATTAGATTGCCAGTGGAAAACCACACAAGATCTCCCAGCTTAAGGGCTGGACCGTGTCTTCTACTTTTTGGCATCTTCAGTTTTAGTTTTTGACTGGGCCTGAGTGAGAAGCAATTTCTCTAGATTTGTAGTCAAGAAGATACTCTTGTAACTAGGGAAGCTCAAGATAAGGGAAAACAATTTGTCAGAGAGCAGGGTGAAAATAGTAGCTGTCAAATAATGATTTTTGAGAATTGGCAGCATTCTGGGCACTGGTGTATGCAAATTTAGCCATTGCAAGTTAAGAGGTCCAGGTATCTTGCATGATAGAGGAGAAGTATCTTAGGTGTTGTAACAAAGTTTGGTTTGCCTTTTTGGTCTTCTTGTTAGTTTGAGGGTGGTAGCTGGGGGACAGGGAGGACTGGATCTTTAGCCTCTTAAACAACTCCTGCTGTAACAACTTCTGAGTAAGATGGATTCTTCTATCAGACACAACATCATCTGGGAAGTCTCACCACTTCCACTAATAAAAACATCAGCTCTACCTGAATGAGCCATTGTTGATTCACCACCACAAAGTTTGAATTGTATCCAGAAAGTGGGAGCTCTATGATAGTCCATTGCAAGCATGCTGCAAGGGCAAGTTGGTATAGGCAAGGACCAGAGCAACCCATATGGCCTGCCACTGGTACTCTTTACAGGAGCACAAGCGGCACAAGATGAGAAGATTGCTACACAATTCTTTAATGGCCACTGGGATCTTCAGGGACAAAAAATTGTCCTCATGCAAAGTAAACCATTGGAGTGGTGGAGGCCTGAATTGGGATAAGCTTGGTAAGTCCTGGACATATCTCTGCTCTGGGACGAGCACTGCAAAAGATCCTGAACTGGCTGCCATCTTCCAACAACCAGTCTGCAAGAGATACCTTGGGCTCAGGTGTGGCAAGTGGAGCTGAGGCAGAAATGTTAAGAAAAGGGGTAGTCAGGTCCGGGCAGAGGTTGTGGACAGTTAAGTGAGTAAGCAAATCAATCAGGAAGTATGATAGCTATTTTGCACAAAGCATAGCTGACCATAAGACAGAGCACTATTCACCTAAATGGCTGGAGCTTAAATACCCATGTTTCATAGAACTCTGGAAGTCCTGGCAGTGAATCTGGGAGTACCATTGGAAGTCCAGGCAGGGATTTTGCAAGTACCATTGGGAGTTTTGGCAGGGATTCTGGATGTCCTGGCAGGGATTTTGAGTGTAGGAGTTCTGGAAGTCCTGAGAGGCATTCTGTGAGTACTGCAAGTTAAAGTTAAGTACTATAAGTTAAAAGAGATTTGAGCCAGGTGAAGTAACTGTATTCCCAAATACTGTAGAGTAGTGGTTGAGGTTTGTAAGAAATGCCTGCATATTGCTTTTGTATTTGTTTTATATATATATCTATATATATATCTATATATATATATAAGGGGGCGTAACTAGAAATCCCAAGGCCCCATAGCAAAATTTTGTAAGGTCCCCCCTCCACAACAAAACTCCCTGCCCCCATTTTAATCGAAATGCGCTGATCAGCATATTTTTTAACTGAGTTTCAGCGCTGACTAAAAACAGCCAAAAATGATCTTTCAAAAATAGTGCGGAAACCACAGTGAAACGCTTCCGCCCTGGTGTGAATGGCGCCTGAATGAGGCCTAACACTTTACTTTAATACTGCCACACCAATGAGAGGCTGAGGAAAGGGGGATTATAAAAAATGAAGGAACGCTAAACTGTAAATAAGCGATTTATGTTATAAATGGTTTTTGCGCTGTGTTTGTGTTGTGATAAAATGATACAGGCGTATATTTCATTAGAACACAAGGTATCACAATGCACGGCAATGTGCCACAAAGCTTTGTCATGCGCTGCCACAGTTAAATGAATGTTTTTTTACAAAAGAAAAAAAATCATGCACCGCAATGCATTCTAACAACGCGCTGCAGCGCATTTGCCTGGCGTTCACCACAATATGGTGCACGTGTATGTTAACGTGCATATTAACAGCCTCAACGCTCAATGAATGGGAAGCTCTCAGTACAGAGGCTTCCCATTCATTCACAAACTGCTGATAGTAAGATATTTACTATCAAGCAGATTCTCAATGCGGAGGAGCCTCTGTACTGAGTGCTTCACCCCATTGAGAAACTCATGAATGAACAGGAAGCGATGTAAATCACAGACTGTTCATTCATAAATGGGGACACGTAGTACTAGGTGTCCCCAGTTATTTACAAACACTGACGATCACTCCGGTGTTTGTGCTGCACATGGAGGATCGGTAAATATCAGTGATACTTACCGCTCCTCTGCTCGGCCACGCACACAGCCGCTGTCATCCTGAAACTGACAAGAGGACAGCGGCTCCGCTCTCCTCCCCGCCTGCTGCTCAAGCTGCTGCTCTGCCGTCCATTTTTTTTCCGGATACCCGTTGCCTCAGCCTATACAAGCGGAGGAGAGCAGCGGGGATCCTGCCCCCCCCCCCCCCCCCCGCCGCCGGAAAAAAATGAAGGAACGCTAAACTGTAAATAAGCGATTTATGTTATAAATGTTTTTTGCGCTGTGTTGGTGTTTGTGTTGTGAGAAAATTATACAGGCGTATATTTAATTACAACACAAGGTATCACAACACGCGGCAATACGTCACAAAGCTTTGCCATGCGCTGCCACAGTTAAATTAATGTTTTTTTACAAAAGAAAAAAATCATGCACTGCGATACGTTCTAACAACGCACTGCAGCGCATGTGCCTGGCGTACACCACATTGTGGTGCACGTGTATATTATGTGTGTGTGTGTGGGGGTTGTGCTTTTTTTTTATTTACACACTTTTTCTGTAGCCTCAGCACTTAGTGAATGGGAAGCACTCTGTACAGAGGCTTCCCATTCATTCACAAACTGCTGATAGTAAGATATTTACTATCAAGCAGATTCTCAATAGGGAAAAGCCTCTGTACTGAGTGCTTCTCCCCATTGAGAAATTCATGAATGAACAGGTAAATCACCTCCTGTTCATTCATAACAGGGGACACATAGGGGTCTATTCACGAAGCAGCCGAAGGATCTAGCCGTAGCTTCGCCCGATCCTTCGGCTAGCTTCGGCCCCAGGACCCCTTCGGTTTAGTAGAACCGAAGGGCTGCTGTACGGGCTATTCACTATAGCCCGTACAGCTACCGAAGTCAGCCGAGCGGCTCAGTCGATCCGAAAGCATATGTTACAAGCTAACCAGGGACGCTGATCTCCAGACAGGCCAACTCTCCCAGACGCTCCGGGAGTCTCCCGCTCCCGGCCGCCCAGGAGAGAAACACTGCTTTTATTTATTTATTTTTATTCTCACATCGAGCCATTGGCTGTTGTCAGAATAAAAAAAAAAGGTTCACCATAGGAATGCATTGCTAGATTCCTATTGGCTATTTCAATTTGCAATAGCCTATAGCAAACTAGCTATTGCACCCGCCCACTGCTGCTGCCAATCAGTAGAGGGGACCTGCAGTTCTCCATCAGGTCCCCTCTAGTGATTGACAGCAGCAGAGGGCGGGTGCGATAGCTAGTTTGCTATTGCAAATTGAAATAGCCAATAGAAATCTAGCAATGCATTCCAATGGCGACATTTTTTTCTTTTTTTTTGACGGCAGCAGAACCGCCGGCCAATAGAAAACAGTTGGGCGGAGCTAGCTGTCACTGCTAGCTCCCCACAATAATTTTCTATTTCTTTTTTAAACATTTTTCACTATTTTTCTGTTCTGCTTGGTCCCGAGCCGAATGCCGCTCAGCGGCATTTGGCCATTCACTCACTGCTGTTCGGCATCTATAAGAAAACACAGCACAGCAGCGAGTAGCCTGCCGGAGGTTCGGCTTAGCCAATCCAGATGTTGGATAGGCTGAG